GCCCCGCCCCTTCCCCCTCTGACCCCGCCCCGTGCCTCCCTCTCGGGGCCCCCAGAGCCCTCCGCCGACCTCCTGGTGAACCTGAGCCGCTGCCGCCGCCTCATCGTGGTGCTGTCAGACGCCTTCCTGGGGCGGCCCTGGTGCAGCCACAGCTTCCGGTGGGTCCCGGGCTGGGCTGGGGCGTGGGGTGGCCAAGGGCGACCTGCTGACGGTCCCGCCCCGCAGGGAGGGCCTGTGCCGGCTGCTGGAGCTCACGCGCAGACCCATCTTCATCACCTTCGAGGGCCAGCGGCGCGACCCGGCGCACCCTGCGCTGCACCTGCTGCGCCAGCACCGCCACCTGGTGACCCTGCTGCGCTGGAGGCCTGGCTCCGTGGTGCGNTCCAGGAGCCGGTGGATGAGCTGCTGGGTGTATTGTTTGGGGCCAGGTGGCTGGAGCTTTCAGGGTTTGCATCCCCTGTGCGTTCACCTGAGCTGAGTGCCCCACCTTGGCCCCCAGACGCCTTCCTCCGATTTTTGGAAAGAGCTACAGTTGGCGCTGCCGCGGAAGGTGCAGTACAGAGCGATGGAGGGAGACCCCCAGACCCGGCTGCAGGATGACAAGGACCCCATGTTGATTGTGCGAGGCCAAGTCCCGGAGGGTCGGACCCTGGACCCGGAGCTGGACCCGGACCCGGAGGGGGACCTGGGTATGTGCACTGAACCCTACCCCTAACCCTGGGAAACTGCCTGGGATGGAGGGGGGCTGCACAGGGTGGAGGAGCCCAGAAAGGGGCCCAGGTGGTGGGAACTCCTCCCTGCTGTCTGTAGATGGACTTGGACCCCCCAGGACCCCCTCACCTCAGGGCTCCTTCCCAGAGGCTCTTGGGCCTGAGACCTGCCCAGAGCCTCCAGGACCTCAACTGTCACTACTTAGGAGGGTGAGCAGGGAGTGAGCCCAGTTTCAGGCCTGGTGGTGCCCCCTCACCCCACTAGGTGTCCGAGGGCCTGTCTTTGGGGAGCCATCAGCTACACCGCATGCAACTGGGGTCTCACTGGGAGAGGGCCACGGCAGCGAGCTGGATGTCTCCGACCTTGGCTCCCGTAACTACAGTGCCCGCACAGACTTCTACTGCCTGGTGTCCGAGGATGACATGTAGCCAGCCCCTTGCCTCCGATGGAGCCGCAGGATGCCAGGGACATCTGGGAGTGGGACCTCCAGCCCTGCCTGCCTGTGACCCTGGGACCCCTGCAGGAGGGTGTGGCCCCAGTGCCCCTCCTTGTGCCAGAAAATAAAGTCTTTTTGGACCCTACCTTGGCCTCATCCTGTCCTCTCTTGGGCAGGAAGGGGGTGCATACTGTCCTGGGCCGGGCACCCCTCACTTCCATCTCAGGCTCTTCAGGGCCCTCCATCCCTCTCTATTTTCATTCCCATGACACCTCGAGTCACCAGATCTGGCTCTCCAACCCTCCCTCTCCCCATCCTCCATCCTGACCCAGCTCTGGCATGTCTCTCGTAGCCTCCTTGGTCCCCCTGCTAGGGGGCAGTGTGGCTGTCCCCTCTGATCCAGATAGATCCTGAGGAGTCCAGGCCCCTTACAGTCTTCGGGTTCTGAGCTTTGCAGAAGAAGCCCTTTGTTATAAAAATGTCATAGTGGGAGCACCCTAGCTGATTTAGCTCAGTGGTTAGAGCGTTGGCTGGAGGATTGAAGGGTCCTGGGTTCAATTCTGACCAAAGCCATGTACCTCGGTTGCACGCTCAATCCCCAGCCTTGGTTGGGGCTCGTGTGGGAGGCAATCCATTGATGTGTCTCTCTCACATCCATGTTTCTCTCCCCTCCCTCTGAAAAGCAATGGAAAAAATACCCTCAGGTGAGGATTAAAATATATATCTATATCTATCTATATCTGTCTATCATCTATCTATCTATCATCTATCTATCTATCTATCTATCTATCTATCTATCTATCTATCTATCTATCTATCTATCTATCTATATCTATATCTATCTATATCTATCTATCTATCTATCTATCTATCTATCTATCATCTATCTATCTATCTATCATCTATCTGTCTAATCTATCATCTATCTATCTCATTGGGAGCTTCATAACTGAGTGGCCTGGCTCAATGAGATGGGCGAAGGGTCCCAGAGCATACTGGATCCCAAGCCTCGGACAGCTTGACAGTTCCTGGTCAGGACACCCCCAGGCCCAGGAGGGCAGGACAAAGAGAGGTGTTGGGTGCCTTTGCCACATGAGTACCCCTAGCTCTGCTGAATCTGCACCTTGGGTGGCACTGAGGCCTCTTCCCTCTACCCCTGCTCCTCCACTCTGTCAGCTTTCTGTGCTGGACACTCCATCTTCCCTGACCTGGAGAGACCTGTGCGCAAACCCAGGAGCAGGCAGGGCTGTACTTGGGGACACTGAGGAATATCCAGTGGTCAGACCAGCCAAAGATGCTTGCAGGACTGTGGCCACTGTCTTCACGACTTTTATTTTGAGCACTGGCTGTCCTGAGGCACCGCAGGGCCATGGCCAGCCCCACCTCTGCCAGTGTGACCTGGTCACCACCCCACGCACCACAGCAGCCTCAAGCCCTGCCCCACTCCCTGCCCGCGGAAGCCAAGTCCCCAGCTGCAAGCCCCCATCCCCCATCCTCTCCCTGGTGGCCCAGGCCTTTCCAAGTTGCACATGGGGCTCCTGCAAGTGGCCCCTGGGCCATCAGCCTTCTCCTCCAGGCCGCCATCAAGCAGCACGGAGCTGAGCCC